CACGTAGCAGATGCGTTCAGCTACACGTTTTCCCAGCTGCCAGAATACAACGTGATCTTCCAGCTGTCGAACGTGAACGAGATGCAAACAACGTTCACCTCGAACGTAATCTCGGTCGACTGGATGCCCCTAACGCAGATGCTTGGTCATCCGTCGGTCACGCTGTTTGTGTCACACGGCGGTATACGCAGTCTACTGGAGGCGGTTGGCCACGCTGTACCGATCCTTGGCATCCCGATGCACGGCGACCAGACGTACAACCTCGGCCGGTTCAGGGAAAAGGGCCTCGCCGAGGTGCTGCCCGTCGCCAAGCTGTCCGAAGACCAGCTGGTAACGACGTTGTCGCGAATGCTGTCAGTTGCCAACTCCCGACTGGCGGCAGACAAGCGAAATTATTCCGCACCACTGCCATACCTACTTAATTACAGGTAACTTCCTCACCTCCTACGTCACTGCATAGTTTTTACCTTATGGCTACTGCTGAGGTAAGCTCGAAAATGACGCACATGCATAAACACAGTGGTGCCCTGATGTCTGGCTAACTACCGCAAGTGGCAGCTTTTCATTTGTCCGGCAGAGATATCCGGTTCTTCTGCTACCGTATAGCATTCGATCACTTCACAACACTTAATCTACTCCCGGATCTACTACTACTGGAGTCTAGACGAGTAACGTTTTCTTGAGTCTAGACGCACAAATGGATTACTTAGGGATATTCTGAGAGGCTACCACAAATGGAGTCATCTTGTGTTTGTATATTTGCCAACGGATGATGGCAGTTTTGTTCGTGCTCGATTATATTCTTGTTCGTCCAATCTCATTGACGCGATGTACTCGTCTTCATCGCAGGCCCCTAAAGAAGATGTAGCCGTTGCTTGTTTAAGTGGTCCCCATAGGCGACTGACTCCAAACAAGGTGGAGGTGCAGTGCTGCCGTACAAGCAGGTTTAAAGACTGCCATCCGTCTTACACTACCGTAGTATTTTTAACGCGATTGAACTGACGTTTCAGCCTGTGTCTCACCGCTTTTCTCTCAGGTGAACATGTAGGTGGACTTCGGAAACTACTTAATTGGCAACACCAACAAAAAGCGTATCTTATGGCTCTCAGTATAGGAACTCCTTAGGACTTCCAAAGCTCAGTCACCTGTTTCACTTTGAGAAGGCCTGTGAGTCAAGGAACCCTAAATGTCAATACTGTTTTGTACTGTTTTCAGTATGACCATCAACGCATGAACCAAATTATTCAATCGTGAGATGCAAATGAAGTAGCAGGACGTCAATGCGAAATGGTTATATATAGTTTTGATGACGGGTTTAAACGTATTCGATTTACCGTATCTGAAGATGGTCACTTTTGCTTATAGCAGATATATGCACAAGCTAATAGACGTTTAATCGAGGTAAGGAGTAACAGACTGCCGC